TGTCGCGATATTAGTGGCGTCCAAAGTGATGGCAGTTTTCTGGATGTGAAACTCTCACAAACCTGGAATTCCGCGTACCAGTGGTCGTCGCTGGCTAAAAGCCACGCGTTGTATTGTCGACGACATCCCAGTGCGAGTTGGATCGAACATTCGTGACCATTGGGGTGCGTGATGACCCTGACGCATGCGATTGTCGTGACGAGGAGGAGCGGTTGCTGACGTGTGCCAATGTGACGGAGGAGACAGCAGTGTGAGTGTGTGTGTTTTCGTTCTATTTATTGTGGCGACAGTCCTCCCATTTTTCGTGGTGAGACGTGTACTACACTTTTCAGCGCATGTAGAGTACTACACTTTTCAGTGTATTTTTTCGTACAACTACAACCATCCAGGGTCACACAGGAGGGGGTAAACACCAGGGCTTTTTTCTTCTTTTTATTTCATTTCATGCCCCACCTTCCTGCTGCGGTGCGTACTGAATTTTATTTTTATCGCGAGAAGGGTCCAGCCGTCCCTTTCCCTCGTCAACGGTGCTAACGTCGAAGTTTGGTACTCACGAGAGCTTTTTATACTATATTTCGCTTTCACCCCCAAATTTCATAAATTTTTCACCCCATGGGGATTCGAACTCACGACCTCTGCGACCAGCGGATTACGAGGATACCACTAGACCACAGGGGCGACCGGTTTGTGAAAGATTCCCAAAAGCGGCAGATACCACACCATGGCCTGTGCCATTTACCGCTTCAGTCTTATTGGACGAAAAATTGTCAAACGCCACCCACATGTCATCTAGTGTCGCACATGACGAAACGGCATTTGCTAAGCTACCCGGAAAGCAGCGATTAATAGTCATCAATCATGCTCGGAAATTGATCGTTGATCTTCTTCCGCGTAACTTCTATTACCCAGCGTGTATCTGGTGCCAACAACCTGGAGTAGCTCGTGACGTTGGATACAGCTACTCGGTATTGCTGCAAGAAATTAGCAAACTTGGTGCCGTTGGGCGCTTGGTAATCGTTCAGCTGCGAGAATGCAGCGCAACGATCTTGTTCGCCAAACTGCCCTGCCAAAGTCGTAGCAGGAGCTTGAAGGCTTCGCCTCCGCTCATCCCTTGCTTGAGCTGAGTCTCTTACTGTGCGAAGAATCCGTTACTGACCGATTAGAGATCATCGGGTTGAGGGGAAGTTGACGAAATGACGTTGGTGAGTGCCCTCTGGATGGGGCGTTGCCAGCCCGTTACCCTAGTGTCGGAATTGTCGAAATTGACGAGGGGGTCAGCTTGTTCCAGGATGCCATGCGTTGCTCTTTTGGTGGACTCCAAGAGTTGACTTAACGCATTGGTGCCAGCACGGCGTATAGCTAGCGGAAGTTGCGGCCTAATCTTTTCGACGTGCTTGAGGTCGATAGTGGCGTACTCAGCTACGATTGGTCGGACTCGCGCTTGCACTACTTTGGCGGTTTGTTGGCCGATGGCATTTTGTCATTGTACAGCTGTTGAATTGGAGACGGGCAAGCCGCTGTGGTGCAACAGAGCGCTATTGGATTGTGCTACAGCTGCTATTTAGCGGATGAATTACTTGCTCTTCATCATCGTCGTTGCTGTCGTCATGCACGGGAGTGTCCCAGTCGAAGTCTCCATTGCAGGTATACTAGTCGATCGGGTCTTCGTTCGAAACGCCCTTGTGAAGAACGAGCGCCCTGTGGGTGTGCTCTTGGTTCTCCTGAAGAGGCGCTTGGCGGCATGATGGTGGTTCCGTACTGCCACTTTTTTCTTCTTGGTGCCCATGGGACCGTTGGCGGCTACGGCGGTGGTCGGAGTGAGTGTGCCGCGAGGTTGACGAGGGTCGGTGGTCCGACCCGTGGTTCCGTTTGGAGCCACGGCCTCCGCTGTCGTCGGAGCTGTCGGAAGCCCAGCGGAGTTGGTGGTGTTTGGTGTTTGACCCACGCTTACCGTGTGGCCTGCGGGTGCCACGTGGGCTGGAGGAGTTCGACCTTTGTTGTTCTTGGGCACGGGAAATTCGCCTTGGAACGGCTGTGGGGCCGGCCCGCGAGAGTAGTCGATGATGGTGTCCGATCGGTTGCGGTAGGCTGCTGCGGCAGTGTCGACGAAAGCTGTGAGTGCGTTGGCTACCGCGACGGTGACTTAGGTGGAGTTGTCGCTGTCCTTGTTATAATCAACGTAGGACCAGACTTGTAAGCAATCTGTGGTCTCCCTTGATGCGGCGGTTGGTGGCGTGTTGCGGCATAGAGTCGAAGTCGTCGAAGGCGTTCTCGCGTTCAGAGATAGCAGCTTGTGCCTCCCGTTCTGCGATGTCCAAGGCAGGTGGGTCGCGCTGCTGGCGCTCCAGTGCAGCGGCTTCCTTGCGAAGCAGGGCGAGGTGGTTAGCGGCCTGGATTGTTGTTCACGCAGTTTCTTGGATTTCTGAATTGCTTCAGACGCTTCTGCTCCCTCTCTTTGTACGATTTCCGTATACCGCTTCCTCGGCCATCTACCAAACCCTCTACTGTGCAGCCCCCTGGGGCGACCTCGCCCTCGACAAACAGCAGCACGCGGTCAACAGCACCCCCGCAGCCGCCAGTGCCGTCAAAGACGAAGAAGCCTCCGCCGTCAAACACGCGCGGGAATTCGTACAACAAGAGAGGGGGCAGAAAGCCTCTGAATGATCGGAGGTCCTTGTTGCAAGAGTTCCCGCGCGTGTTTGACGGCGGCGGCTTCCTCGTCTTTGACGACTATAGCGGCTGCGGGGGTGCTGTTGACCGCGTAGTGCTGCTTGTCGAGGGCGAGGTCGCCCCAGGGGGCTGCAGAGTAGAGGGTTTGGAAAAAGTCGGGCACGTGCAATACGGGAGCTTGGTGGGCCCCTGTTTGGCGTCGGTGGTGTTGGTAGACGGGTTGACGAACGGAGGCTGAGAAGCCTGAGCAGAGACAACGCCCACGGGGGCAGGGAGTGACGGGGAAGGGTTAGTCAAGGTGGCTGTCTCATGATCGTTCATTGACGGCTGTGCATTGTCGGAGGAATGCAAGGTGCTTGGCTGCCGAGCTGTACGGGCAGCGCAACGCTGTGCGCGTGCATGCTGTTGTAAGCTGATTCGTGCATTGAGGTCAGGAGTCGAGAGCTCAAAGCGTGAACGAGATCGAACGAGTGTTCACGTTCCCATAGAGTGTTGCGGGCGTCGACATACGACGTTGTGGAGTGCATGTGTGCAGCATTCAGTGAAGAGAACTTAGCGTGATAATTGTCGGAAGCAGCAGGCAGTGTCGTAGGTGGCGTAGTGTGCCCAGAAAGTGTCGAGTAATTGGCGGCGTTGTGCACGAATATTCGGCAACCGATGGAACAGTGCCGAGTTCTGCAGTCTCCGGAGATGAGCGATCGACACGCGGAATTGTGGAAAAATTGTCCATGATAATTGTCGATTTCGTCGCGATGTGGCGATAGCTGTGTCGGGCGGCGCGCGGATTTCGCTGGAGTGATGCTCATCAGTGGCGTCAACCGTACGCTGAAAGAGCAGAGTGGCGTGTTTGTGTATCACAGGGCACGGAGGTGCTGGAGATGCAATTGCATGTTCGACCAACGACCCCAGAGATGTAGCTGCTTGCTGCAGCAAGGAGTGTACTTGATTGGTGTCTGTGGAGGTAGCGGAGTGTGCTCAAACCGGAGAGCTGCTGCCACTAGAAGCAGAGCTGCGTGGAGCATAATTGGTGCCGCGTGCGCTGGCTGCTGCTGAGTCGGCGCAGCAGCCTGTTAGTGTTACCATGAGAGCTAAATAGCTCAAGCTTACGAGAGAGAGAGAGAGATAGAGAGAGAGAGAGAGAGATGTCTACCCAAGGAATGTAGGTCAGCAGCAGAGAAAATAAAAATCCCACTGCACTCGAAACGAAAAAAAAATTGAAGCAACTCACGTTCGTATCCAAGACGAGGCCAAGGTGTGACCATATCTGACGCGGGTTCAGTACGGAGCTACAGTCGTGGCTCCGTTATAAGAGGGCGGTGCGACAACGGCTCGACACCCTCTCTGTATCGGAGCCCCGTCTTGTACCGGATTAAGAGAGTACTCAATTATACTATGGAGGGTCGAAGTCGTAACAACCGATCTGGACCCTCTCATGTCGGAGCCCCCTCTTATATGGTACCCTTTTACATCGGAGCCACGACTGTAGTCTGACCACTGTGTGCAGGTTGGAGCCGCTTCGCTTCTTCAGTCTGTTTTGTTCCTTATCCTTCCTTTCACTCACTCCCAGGCAACACTGAGCAAGGGGGGGCGCTTGCCCATCACCTGCTGCTGCTACTAACTATTTCTAAGTGTCGGAATACCAGGAATCTGGGCGGGTGGTCGGAATATTCCTGAAAGATATACCCACCCGGATGCTATCTTAGTCCAAGGGTCCAAATACCATGACACCAGCCCTCTTAGCCAATTTTGAGTATGACTCAAATGAGCTCGTGAGTTTTAGCACTGCAGTATTGAGATGATGTATATACCAGCAGCATGGCGGAGGGAGAAGACCATACGGACGCATGCCCATGGAGTAAGGCAAAAATATTTGAGATAAACTGGACATCAAAGGGGTGCCCATGAAGAAGCGATGCGGAAATCGATGGATGTGAAACTGTTACAAAAATTGTTGAAAATTCATGAGTAAAAGTGGTGAGCAAGCGATCGTTGAGGTGGATGAGCGGTGATGCTGACCTCGAAAGGCCCGAGAAAAATAGGGTTAACTGTGCTGCAGAAGTGTAGAGAGCCCGCATATACTGGGGGGGGGCTGTGCTGGAGGTACGAAAAGTGCTCCTCCTCGCAAGGCGTGCGTGATATATGGTCACACGTTTAAAGGTACCGGTGTCCCCTAAGCTGGAGATGGAAGGCGTGACATTGTTCCGTGGGTACCTGCTGCTTACACCTGAGAGAGTACATATACATGTTGGCCAAGAAATCGAACATGCGCTGTTCACATGCAACTAGACTAACCTGTGTCAGGGCATGCGTGTGTCCAACCCTTTACCCAGGGGATGGTCTGCCGGTGTGGGATATTCCAGAAGGGGCCTTGGTCGATCCGCGCGACGTCATGCACAAGGATCTCGCAGACTTTTACGTACAGGCCGCTGTGGCGGCAAAGGTGTCGAGGAGCACGCCGTTCTACCGGCTGCACGGGTTGAGGTCCTGCGAAATTTCGAACGTCAACGTGCTCTGGGTGAGTGACACAGGAGAGCAGGGTGAATTGGCCCCCCACCCCCCCCCCCCCCCCCC